ATAATGACGTTACTTGTCCACATGGGAAGTTCGTTTTACAATGGCGATACACCAATACACAAATATACCAATACACAATACAGCCGTACATAAATACACCAATACATTTTAATTAATGGTTACAACGTAAATATATGAATAATGATACACATTATAATCACAAACATAGACAATCCAGTTCATTCCGCACACAGATGACCAAAGTTCGATTCCCGTGTGGGAAGGATTTTTATCAAGTGCCTTGGTGTTTCTGCTGGGATGTAATACCCTCTCAGCCCGGGTTGGTTCTTCTTACGGTCGAGGTTGGATACTCGCCTCCTAATGATCTTAATTGTGTTGTTGAGGGCGTAAAAACACATGCTTTAATGTTTTTGAATCCACCAGTGCTGGACAACATTGTTTGTTTGGTTTGGGGTTGTTTTTTTTGTTTAAGTAGAGGTTTTACGGCGCTCGCAACTACAAAAGGTCAAATGAGCGCCAGAAGATTAGAGGTGTTCCAAGAGAGTAACAAACATAAAAAAGAAGGGGAGATAAGGACGATACATTTTTTTTATAGGACAGAAGGAGCAAACCACACCAGAGCATCCGCCAACCACCCACGGTCGCCACTAGTGTGCGGCGCCTTGTTTCTGATTGAAGGTTATCGCTCAAGGACACTCCGCAGTGACCACCCATCCTCAACACACGCTACCGACACATGCTTGACAATACCCTCCTCCCTCCCAAAAAAAAATGATTTGAGGATACCCCGCGCGCACGTGCACACACACACACACACACACACACACACACACACACACACACACACACACACGCACACACACACGCACGCACACACAAACACACATACGGGTTACTTCATTGCTGTCCAAAATGGATAAACGTGCAACCCACTTAAAAGTAAAAGCAATGTTTGCTGTGTAAACGAAACTCAAGTGATGACGTAAAGTTGTCCTAGATTTGAACTTTACATAAAAGAGTAAAGGTCTACTTCAGCCCTCCATTCGAAACTTACTTGACATATTCGAGATCTCTACTCAC